TAAAATTAGAGATGCTTTACGTATTATGCTCTAGAGACGTTGAAATATCCTCCGAACTTTATTTAACCATCGATTTTCAAAGTTAACGGGTAACGCGTGGTCTTCTCGTGAGGAGGGAATTTCCAAAGCAAAAACGTACAGCTGCTTCGCACAACATTTCATCACGTTCGTTGCACGTCATTCGAACGTGCTTCGCCGATTTCGCGTAAGGGAAATTTAATTAAAAGTCGATTGGTCGTGTGTTTTTTTCCCGTGTCTCCCCTTATATTCGTGAAAAAGGAACGACAGTCGTTTACAGAGAAAAGAGAGGAAAGCAATAAGGAGAATTGTAAAGAGAACAACAAGCTGAATTTTATAAATGGTCCGAAATATGACAGATTCGTTGGAAAACTCATTTTTCACGGGGAATCATGAATCTTCTGGTAACACGGCGAGGGAAGCTTCGGTCGAATCGATATCTCCAATAGCCAGAGACTTTTATCCTCTTCTCCTGTTTTTTTTTCTTTTTTTTTTTTGTTTTTACTCATTGGTCGGATACCATTAGTACTTTTCTTCTTTTACAGCTGCGATCCAGAAGCCACGTAAATTCTTGGTTTTTAGCTTGTTCGGAATAACAGCTACCATTCTATCCACTCTGTTTCCTCTTCGAAATTCTTTCTCTGCTTTGGTAATCTTTTATTAACGTAGAACGTAATGGTAGCTTATAGCGGAACACACCTTCGTTCTACGCAATTTAAGTTTTTCAATACGACGTTTACTTTTCATCCTCATTTTTTACGTAACGCGATTGATTTTCTTCGGCGGTGTTGTAAAATTACGAGGAATACGAACGGAGTGATTTGAAGAGATATTCCTCGCAGCTTCTGTGATACATTTGCATTTGCTGTGGCAAATGTAAAAATACTCTGCGTCCTTCCACTGCGGGAAAAAAATGTCAAATAAACAGATAAATTTTATTGTAGAATAAACTGAACAACACTGATAAATTCAAGATAATAGTGATAAAGAATATAAATTATCTCTCTACGATATTGATCCTTTGCACTCGTGTGGCGACTGAGAAGCGACGTTATTGACCGCTTGGTAAAAATGGTCCTTATGGGCCTCTCGTAAATTTATAAGCAGCGAAATAGTTTGAAGGAAGCGATCTTTAATATGAAAATTTGTAATTTATCTATGGCAAAAAGATCTTCGAGCGCAAAGGGTTAAATTCGTCAGCTTTCACGAGATTCTGAAATTACCGGAACTAAAATATCGTCATTTTTATTGAATTTAGGATAACTTCGATAAAGAGTGTTAACGGTCTATCAGAAGCTTCGACATCGAACAACTGAAAACTCCATTTCTCAATTTTCGCTCGAAACTATCGAAAACTTAACGCATCGCGGTGCAAAATACCACACACGGCGAGTTTGAACTTCGTCTCACTTCCGCGCATGTTAATATCCAAACTTGGCAACAACAACGCGCGCAACAAGAAACCCTCGTTACTTTCCAGGTAGTTATCGTTACAAATGTGCGAGCTGCACGTTTTCGAGACAACGAAATCTGTGGAATAATTTTCGAACGTGTCTTTGGGGGCTAATTTCGCCGGATTTAGAATTGTTCCACGCAGACCGATACGTCGATTACACACGCAACTTTGCGTCCTCCAGGATAAAGCTCGCCGAGTAATTATTCAGTTAGCTCTGTCGCTCGATAATTCGTTGCTTATTATTCGCAAGCTCGAACAGAACGCCCGCGGTATTGGTTTACTGCACGGTATAAATCTACATTAGAACGCGTACACCTACGAACCGATGATTAATTGTCGCCGGGGCAGCGTTGTACCGCTACCCATTATTCATTGGGAAACGTGTTAATCCTCTATAATACAGAGGCGAGAATATTTTCCAGCCTCCGTGCATTCATCAGCATTTCGCGTTCACGCTTCTGCGCACGGCCTCTGCCCCGTGAAAGCAAGAAACAGCCGTGCATTTGTTAAATGGTAATTTCATTTGCCCCGCCGTTTGGGATTTATGCGTCGATAACTTGGCTACGATGTTGGTTAATCAAGATCTGTCCGTTCGTTCGATGCTGAATTTATGGAATTCGCCGATGCTCCAGGCGTTACGTTGCTCGGAAAATCGCGGTTTGGATCGGTGGAACCAGTCACCTTTGTTACTTTTAATCTCCCGCTGTATTTGGATCTCGAGAGATTTGCGAGTTCTGCGGTGGGAATTAGGGTTGCTCGCTTCGCTGAGTTTCGCGGAATCGAAGTTGTGAGAGTTGGGTGTTTTGGAGGAAGTGGAAGGATTTTTCGTGGTTGGAACGTTTCGAGGATTTTTGTGGAATCGTGCGATTGTTCTGTTAGAATTTCTTGAGAATTTAACGCATCTCGGAGTTGGAATAATTTGAGCCTTTCTGAAGGTGAAGGAATGATAGTTTTTAGGGAGTATAGTGGAAACTGTGTATGTCTGATGATATTTCGGAGATAAGAAGCTTCAGATAATAGATAATTGTTATGTATTTTTTTTATTATTTAAAATTGGTGAAAATACGAGCTTTAAATCTCAGTCGTTTCTTTATCAAGCGACTAGCACAGGGAGGTCCTTTTTTGCAATTTAATTGCATTGGGACGCAAGTAATATCCATCTCACTTTTTTTCATTTTACATGTTAATACAGTCTTATAACAGATTATTAATGCAGCATGAAATTTAAGCACGTTTAAAAATTGAATTCAATCTGTGCTATGAAATCGTTCAAACTTTGTTGTTTATGTTAGATTTATCAGTAAGTTTGATATAACAAAAATTAATCTAACGCCTTACTAGGAAGTATATATTACTTTTCTACACATTCGGAGAAATCTGTGGAATTGGTTTAATAATAAGTTGTGAGTGATGGCGTGAATGTAGTGAGTATGTCGAATCGTCTCGAGATTTGGTAAACGAGCGGATCATACAGGGTAACTGCGGGTAAAAAACAGGAGAAGCGCGTTGTTATTGATATCAGTGAGTACGTGAGAATTTATTGCGAGATATATGTATTTAGCGAGCGTTGATCAAATTATCATTATTTCTTTTTACGTGTGTTTACAGTTATTGTCATAAAATATATTGCTATTGAACTTATTATCAAGTTTTATACAACCACAAAATCCGTTTAGCCTCACAAAATGTTTATTATACGTTTTTAAATGTTTCTGATACGTGACAAAAGGCCCTTCGGTCCCAAGCGGGGTCGTAGATAATATTAGGGCGTTGCGTAGGAGCATTCTCAGTCCGTAGGCAGTGCTCTTACCGTCAAGTAGAAAAGCGCACCTTCCTTGTGTCTAATAAAAGTTTATAGTTTAAAATAAGGATTATTAATTATTTAACAACCAATAACTCCCATAATCCAATAGTTTAAATAGAGAAAACATTCTCCACTATCTTTATTTTAAGGAATTCTCTTTGTCAGGTCAAAAATGTACACTAATTTTTATATCTACTACAATTTTCAAGGTACACACAGAAACAGGGTAGCACATATTAACCCGAAGAGCCAGAAAGTAGCGAAAAAAGAAATTGCCCGAGGTTCTCTGCAAAGTTTAAAAAAATCTCCTTTTAAAGTTAACCTCTCGTTACGAGTAAGAAATACCTGAATTACCTGAAAGTGAATCACTTGAAATTTCGAACAACACAAAGAGATGACCGCGACACAGAAAGTGTTCTCCGTAAATTATTCACGATAGAATTGTAACGCGCGGCGTTTGTACAAACGCTCCTCGTGTGAACAATTTCCGCGTCTTCCTCTAGTCAAACGTGTCGGTATCTCGCGACACTGAATAATTTCGGCGAAACTGGATGGAAATGAAGACGCGCGACACTGTCCCCGTTCAGGTATTGTGACCGTAATTGCGCCGACATAATGCACGCGTTAGTTGAAGTTACGCGCGACTGTGCGGGCCCGCTTGAAAATGCATAAAACATGCACTTGTAAAATGTCGTTACGCTCGATATCACCGAGACGATACAACGCTTCGGACCGCGCTATTTGAATAATCAATTCACCGAACGGTTTCCCGTGGATTTTTAACGCGGCGCCGTTTGTTCTCCCGTTAAACTGGCCGCGCGCGAACAGAGGGATGCTTAACCCTGACGAAATTTAATGGTCGTATGAGAGCCGCGATTCGACGGTTCAAAATTAACGTGAGCAACATGTGCATGGGTTGTTTATGCGACAGAGGTGTGAGGAAGATTTTAAGCTGATAAAAGTAGTTTCGGAGGTTTTGTTTTGGTAATTTTGGAGATTTTGGGGAAATTTTTGCAAGGTTTTCTAATAGAAATTCTGAAAAGATCGATCATGGAAACTTTCGAGATATTGTTATTCTTATTTACTGTTCATTTCTTCTTACTCTTGTACAGTTTTATTAATTCTCCTTCACCAGAAATAGCCAAATGGAATTTAATAATTTATTCATGTTTACACAGATTTTAGATACTTTTACGGAGATTTTGGTGAAATTTTTTCAAGGATTTTTGCTAAAAATTTTCAAACGATCGAAATTCTCAAGAAATTGTGCTTCAATTAAAAATTAATTATTCTTTCCTATCCTTGTATAAAATATCCTTCGTCAAAAATAGCCAAATGATACTCGACAACTCTCGTAGGGTACAGGTTTATCAAAAATTTGCATAGTTTTCACGTTACTGAGAGAACAACACCTGTACGTTTACGATCCGCGTAAACGCGTCGAATTTTATGCATTTCACTTAACGAATCATTAAAATTGCAGATACGCGGGAACGTCGAAAATCTCGTTTCCCGAAAAGCGACAGAGGATCGTGAAATATTAATAGGTAGAAACAATTTCCTGCAATTTTATTCCATATCGATACAGTTAATCGAATGTGTCGCAATCAGAGACAGATAAACGCGTAATGAAATATTTATCGCCGCTATAACGTCCTTTAAACTGTACCTATGTTCTGTTAACACAATTATCGTTCTCACAATTTCCACTTTATGTTTCAGAACTCTTTAGAAATGCAGCGGAGGCTGGTCCTCTGGACATCGTGAAGCTTTGCAAGGGGGACAAAGTGTTGAACATTTCAACTAATTTGCCGGCGAACACACCAGACTCTCCCTATGTTCTTCAGGTAACGATCCAGCTGTCTTGCACAACTGTCTCAGTCGTTCCTTGGAGCGTTTTCTCGGTTTAATTTGTGTAATTCGCCGGGACCCTTCTCTATCTCTTAACGTTCCACGAGTTTTAAGATCGAATTGAAAAACTTGGGTGCAGCTCTGACGCTTCCGCGAAACTTTTCAAGTCTTCCCTGTTGTACCACGCGGAAAGTATTTCCGCGAAATTGGCGTTGATTAATCACGTGCATGTGACGGAATGTAAATTTCAATTTAACGAGAAAAATGTGACTTTCATCCGGGGTATAAGGCAGGGAAGAAAATTTCTCGTCCGATTGTTGGAACTTCTCGATTTTAATCCTTTCAGCGGGGACTCGTTGCGACGAAAGCTTTTCTATTGTTTCGTTGGAAAAAATACGGTGATCTGGCGTAGACTGGCTGGAGAATGGAAATTTCACGAATCTGCTTTTAATCGGGGTGAAATCTTCCTTCGACGACTATATTTCGCTCGCTCATCGGGCAAATTACTCGCCGCGGCTTTGATAAATGTGATCCAAGGAATCGCTTAGTGTCTCTCGCGCGTTTCACTCTGTGCGATGTAACGAATTGTAATTAATAATGTTGCACGAAGGATGCAGATGTAATGTACGTTTGTTGCGTGCAATATTATTCCGGGTGATATTAAATATTCGAACAGGTATCGAGAAATGCTTTTTCGTATTTTACACAGAGAGAGGTTATATATAAATAGGTTCGAAATAGGTTCGAATGCTGCGGAAAATCGAGGAAATGCGTTATTTATTGAAAATTGAAATCGGGGGTCGTAGCAAACTGTAAATAATAACAGACGTTTTACGAATGAAAGTATAAAGATTTCTCAGTTATGGTAAAACATTTCTACGTTTTATATCTTTACTAAAATGTGGATAAATGATCGCATTTTGTCGTGCACAAATTAAGGGGGTGCACCACCCTGAAACGTCTAAAAATAGGTAAAGTTTGGGAATTTTTTTTATAGGTAACTATTACATGAAATGTTTCAATTTTGTCAGAGGATATAAATGTAACTTTCAGCCTCTTTCCCCAATTTTTAAAAGGTGGAAAGGTTACAAAATGGAGGAGTTATTGCGAAACTTCTCCTGTTAGAACATCGATCGCTGGCAAGGATTGGAACGTCTGAAATAAAAACTTCTTTTCTATTCATAAACAAAATGTCTCATCGACAATATATCGTACGATATTTTAAAAATTTTAATTACTATAAACACAGTGGTAATACGAAGAGGAGAAACTTCTTGTCAAAAAAAAAGAAAAATCAACTTCAAACGTTTCTAAGAAATTAAATAATTGCTGTATCGAAAAAATGATACCCTACATATTTCGCAATAACTCTTCCATTTTGCAATATTCCTACTTTTAAAAATTCGAGAAAAGAGCTGAAAGTTACACTTACATCCTCTAAAAAATTGAAGCTTTCCATTTGACAGTTACCTACGAAAAAAATTCCCAAACTTTTCCGTTTTTCTAGGCGCATCAGGGTTGTCTGTCCCCAATAAAAATAGGGTATTTATAAATGAGAGCAGCAGGGAAACGATGAAAGGAGGAGAAAAAGAAAATACCAATGATCTTCTCCAAGCAGTAATGTATTTTACTTGTATGACGAGTAGAACAGTTACGATACACTCAATGTACACTTAGCGAAGAGTCTCGAGCGTGGCTGTAAGAAGTGTGTCTCCTCTTTTGAAGATTGTCGGAGCGCATCCGGCCTCGTCAGGGGTGATCGAGGCGGAAGTGCTGTGGGCTCTCGAAAGACGTGTGGCGGCCTTGGAACGGCAACTTCGGGAGCATCAAGAAGCTCTGTACGCGACACCAACGCTCGCTCTTCGTGAACTGAAGCGGCAGGTCGACAGTTTCAAGAATAAGTTGGAGCACAACGACCATCTCAGTTGGTTGAGTAAGTTTTGCACTAAGTAAACCGTCCATCCCCGCATACACACACAGAAAACGGAATGGAATAAAGGATTTTCGAGATGTAAATCGTGTATTTCTAGAATTTTCAAATTTCACCGAGAAACAATTTCGTAAACATCGAAAGAGTATCGAGAATATCGAATTCTCTTGTCCTTCCGTTCTTTTGTTCCAACTTTTTGTCGGTTCTCTTTTCTTCCCGATGATTCTCTATTGTTAAACGCTCGAGAGCCGGTTGTTCGTCGAATTCGATCGAGAATCGGAATTAAACACCGTGGAACAGAAAACGAGCGAGCTGTTCCGTTCTGTTTTATTTCTCGTCGATTGCGCGCCGCGCAAACACGGGTCGCGCTCGAAGTTGCACAGCCGGTCAAAGAACCGTGTGCGAAAAATAAAGGAGCAGAGGGAACCGGACAGAGGCAATCCGAAAGCGTCCCGAGTTCCGCGTTTTCGCTCCCGTCCCTTCCGCTGCCGCCGGTTTCTTCCTTTGCTTTCGTGTCATATCGCACAATACGCTGCTTCCCCGAAACGTTTCTCTCTTCCCACTCTGTCAGCTGGAAAAATGAAACTTCAACGGCAATTGTTCGTTTCTCGTGCGCGAATTTCGGCCGCTTCGATAACTGCTGCCGAATTTTTCCCAGACGTCGAACCTCGACTGTGAAAAGAACACGCGGGGGTGGAACGAGGGGAAGAGAAACTCGTCTCGCGATTTGAAACATCGTTTCATTCGGCGAGCTTACCGAAACTTCGTTCCACGAAAAATTCTTTCTCGATCTTCTCCCGAGTGTTTTTCACCGCGCGAACTTTTTCGAGTACTCTCCGCCGTCGATGGCCGTTGTTTAGAGAATAGAGGAAAAGAGAAGGTAGAAAAATTGTGGAACGTTTAGAAAATTTCCTTGCCGAATCGAAAAACCGTTCTGACGCTACCGATCCACCGGGGACGATAGATATACGCGCGGATAAACAGCACAGCGGCCGAATAAGCCTTCCGCTGAATAAATATTTGCCTGTGCAAGGAACCGTCGCAGCTATTCCTATCTTCGGTTCCTAGCCAAACGCGTATACGAGGTGAGGCGAGAGGTACGGCTGGTACAACCGGACAGAGGGTGATTCTACATGTAAAAATAAATCGGAAATAAAGAATAGCTTTTTCATAAAAAGCTTACTTTTCGAGAAAATCGAATTTGAAGGTTCAGCTTTGCAGAATCTGTTGCTTCCAGTTGATACTTTTGTATTTGTAAACAGTGGTAACGTCACACTTCGCGAGGAAATAATTTACGTGGAGAAACGGTGTGAATATTTTGCAGTTGAAAGAAGGAATTTTTAGTGATTTTTGGATAATTAAAACGTCGAAATATTTTGTAATTTAGAGGGCAAGGATTTGTACGAATTAACATGGAATTTTCAATACTTTCTTCGGTAATACGAATGTAAATTAAGAAAATTGTTAGTAAAATGATATTAATATCGCTTATCAGTTCAAATATGATACAAAAGACTGGATAAATTGTTTAATTAAATTAAGCTTTTTATTGTGTATTTTTGGTTTATTTTTATGCGTAGAATCCTTAACCTCGACTTTTTCTCTTTTCTTCTTCTTTTCCCTGATCTCTGTTCGTTTGTTTGTCTCGGCGATAGACTTTTTCCCCGGTTTTCAGCACGGTGGAAACCCGCATTAAGCCGATAATCGCGATAAAATACTCGACGTATCCCACGCGTCGAAAGCTTTCACGTTTTTAATTTACTCGAAGTCACCGTGGCTCCGAGCTTTTACTCTTGGTTTTTAACTCGCCGTTGAAGCAACATTCGTCTCGACTCTGTCGATTCTATCGATCAATGGTGTTTCCTTTCTTTATCCGGCTCTCCTTCGGTTCCTCCTGATGTATTGCAACGGAAAGTAAAGAAAAATGGTATTGCAATCGAAATAATTTGTAGAGTGGCTAAGCAGTGCTGTACAGAGCGCGAAATTTCTCAATTTAATTCAAAAACGATCAATTCACCAAGTTGACAAAATTTCTGATAAATAGTGTTCGAGTGAAGTCGCGAGAAAAGTGGTCTTGCAATCGAAATAATTAGTCGAGTACTTAAGTACTGATGTACAGAGCGCAAAATTTCTCAGTTTGATTGAAAAACGATCGATTCACCAAATTGACAAAATTTCTGATAAATAGTGTTGGAATGAAGTCGCGAGAAAAGTGGTCTTGCAATCGAAATAATTAGTCGAGCACCTAAGTACTGACATAGAGAGCACAAAATGTCTCAATTTGTCACAGCAGAACATTTCAAAACGTAGAACTATGGATCAGAAGCACGGTTCACGCGTCGATGTAACGGAACACCGAACATTTTCCGGTTCAATTTCCAGACCGATGTCATCTTTCAGGTTTCTACAAACAGCTTCCAGAGCCCCTTTACGCGGATTCCTGCCGCAGATTGCAGTATCGTCGGAAAAGCGACAGCATGAAGCGGAAGGTGCGAGAAAAGTTCCTCAATATGTGGTGAGTCAATAGAAACGGCTGCTCTCTTTACGACTTACGCGGGGGCTCCTTTCTTCGCCGTTTACGATCAGCCATCCGATCTCCTTCTCTCCCTCCTCTCTCTCCCTCTCTCTCTCTCTCTATCTCTCGTGCTTCTAGCTGCGATTTAATTCGAGATACAGAGGGGACAGGTGAAGGAACGATAAACAAGTTGATCGATTTCTGTCGCGGACCAATGTTTACGACGACGAACGGCTGAGTTCGAGAGGGGAAAAAAATGACGGTATCTTTCATATCTCCTTTTTTCTGATGTCGAGGATGACTAATTGAATTTCACGGGTAAATTTAGACGCAGGTTGTATAATACGAATCTCTGTTGAACGATAGGGACGATCGGTCCAGATTTAGAGATTTCGTCGTTTCTAACGTTGCGTAATTTGGAATTGTGTAATTTCGAATTGACGAGCATGAGAAATGTTCGGAAGATTTGGCAATTTTTGTAGAGGCACGAAAGGGTTGATAAGCGTTTGATTAAAGTTGCTTAGAAAATTCGTCAAATCTAATATTAATTGTGAAATTTTAAATTGATAGGTACGAAAAATGTTTGGAAAATTTGACAATTTTGATACAGACGCAAAAAGATTGTAAAATTGTCAGAATTCGTCAAATCTGATGTTAATTTCGTTCAACATGTAGAAAGTATATCAGAAATTTGTCTCGAGTCTCCAAACACTCTGAATTCCAGTTAGACTTCGTGATTTACTTAACAATAAAGAACCAGGCTGGTTTCTCGCAAACAACGAGAAGTCGCGTATGCACCACAACCTCCAATCTATTATTAATTCGTCATACGAATTGACGTCACGTTGATTCACGAAAACTGTTTCATTCATGGAAGCCGCGGAATTATTTAACGTAAACTACCGTCGCGGCGTGAACCGAATGAACGATGTAAATAAACAAAAAACATGCTCAGTTTAAGGTCGAACGTGGGCCAAACAACAGCGAGCATCGTTTCGTGAATATTTATTTGCTCGAGGTACAGCATTCTTGGAAGATGTTTATACCGACGAGTATTTCACCGTGGATTGTTTTGCTACGAAGACAATGCTCTCTTTTAAACGTAGTATTAATTGAGCCGTTAAGAAGCCAAAGTGACTACAACGAATGTTAAGTTTTCTATTTAAATTAAGAATGCTCTATTTATTGTGGAATCGTAAAATTTATCAAGCACCTGAAAACTGGACGAAAACTTAGGCACCAAGCATCTGCTTTGATACTAAAATTGGGAGAATGTCGAAAAATGGAGTGAATTATTTTGGCTTCTGAGAGGCTCGATTAATTTCCCTGTTGAAGAGAAATCTACCGCGATTATCCTACTTTACGTCTACCTGCATCGTGTCCATCCTTGGCAGATCAGTCAGACGTAGATCAAGGTGACAACTAGAAAAATAATGGAAAAATCTGACAACTGTATTTTTCGTGCACGTTTGAAGAAACGAGGAATAAGTAAACAGTGTATTAGATGGAAGTAAAATGATGGTTAAATGCAGGTTCTACAGTAGAAACAGTGTTTGGTACAGTGGATGCGGTTTCAGCAAATGAACAGCTTGATGTGGGATTTCTGTTTCTGACAACTGGAAATCCTAATATTAGGAGGTAATTTACTATTGAAGGATAACATGGAAAAGTGTATAGTTTTTGTGTTAAACGAAGTGAAATGTTCAATTTTAGCAATAAATAAAATTTTAATAAACTTGTTTCGGTAGAAAATATTAGCGCGAGTTTAAGTCAAATAAATTTCAACGATCCCCAAAGTGAGATATTATCTTTCTTTCAGTCAGTTAGAAAGATGATAGTGTGTCAGCCTACTTTAACATTTAATATCTTGCAAATTCTTCGATATAGGAGACTAAAAGTTTACACAATTAACCAGCCAGAAATATTGAGGACGAAAGGATAACAAGTCAGCCTATTTTCCTCGATTTTTCAATGCTTCAGCATTTATTATGTTGCAAACTCTTCGGTATTCTTAGACTAAAAGTTTACACAAATATTGAGGACGGAAGGGTAATAAGTCAGCCTACTTTCCTCGATTTTTCATTGCTTCAAAGTTTACTATGTTGCAGACTCTTCGCTATAGCAGACTAAAAGTTTGCACAAATTAGTTGATCATGTCTACCACTAAATCTACCGAGATTGAAAGAAATCAGCGACACGGTAGCAGAAAGTGTGCGATTTTTCGCGGAATGTTTAATGCAGAACGACTAGTAACGAGCCACTAGGAACCGGTTTGCGATACCTCGAGATGATTAAATGCCGCCGATAATCCGATCTATTGAGCCGCTGTTTCTAACTACAATGTTGCACGAGGTCAGTTAGTTCGGTTAGATCGATCACGACCGGTTCTCTCTGGCCGATTCAATTCGAGGCGACTGTCACGAAGCAATGAAAGTTTCTCTGTCTTCCGCGTTTCACGACTGACAGGCAATTAAAATTCGGACATTCTGTCTGGCTAAGAAAATCGTGAAACGTAACAAGCATAAGAGACACGACGAAACAGTAGTGTGCACAGTGTAGCAATAATTTGACCGATAAATGTTGGAAAATGGTTGAATGAACAGTCTTTAGAGACGCAATTTTCAGTTTCTGTGAAGTTTTAGCTTTTTCAAATTTGATTTCTAAACTGCCTAATTTCTGGAAAGGTGAAAGTAAATAGATAATTTTCAGACTGATTGAAATTTTGCGAATTTCAACTTATTCGAAATCCAATGTGAAGTTTGACGATGATACACATTTGACAAGAGAGAAGAAAGATTACTTTCGTCCTGGAGAAGGATTCATTTAGCTAGGAGTTTCTCTCTTTAATACGTCATTGGTTATCAAAGAGATCACATTTTTAGCTTTCATTTGCATACGGTATCGCTCTCTTTTCTCTTCTATTACGAACTTGCCGAGACCTTTGTCAGCACAACTGAAATAAATTTAACACCTAACCAAAAATGTATTAAAGTGTAGTTCTAAGCGACTGCTAAGTGCTCCGGTGTCCGTCTCGCTCGACGGCTATTTCCAGAGTGTCCTCTCCGCGTATCCCGTTGGAACCCCCTCGTTCGACTTTCCAGGGAAAGGGCTTAGTTTATGGTACCCTCAGGTACCCGCGCGCTTTTTCTTCCTGGGTGACAAAGTTCAGTCCACCACTTCGCCGCCGAAATCTCGCATTTCTTACACCTTTGTGCACGTGTATATTGTGTGATTATGTGCTTAAAAAATTCGAAAGAGATTCTTACATTACTGCAAAGTCGGTGTTTTTAAACAGCACAAAGCTTGAAATGAATTGCTACCATAATGCATTCCTTTTGACATTCTGAAAAAGACCAGCGAGATTATTTGGACGTTCAATATGCCTTTGATATCTCGTAGGTGAACCGTCATGGAAGCGCGATTAAATATTACTTTGTAGCGTGTTCGAAAAGTGCGCGCTTTCATACGACGGATTAATCACCTGTTAACAGGTGTACATTTTGAATAGGGTCGCAAAAGCTACGGAGAATTTTACGTTTTTTACGCAATTAGCCGGTATTTTTGCGATGCTTTTGGCTGTTTCGAAACGTCGACAAATTGGACGTAAATAAATGGGTGCTCACAGTCTGTCTCACATCGATATGTAGAAAGTAGGATTACCGTGGAATGTTTGTATCGTTGCGACACAAGTATTGTTTGCGCTCCTTTCTTCCGTACAACTTTCACGAAGCAAAACTCACGGTGAAATGATAGTTAGCGTCAAATTTAGTCATTTCTAAATAATAATTCTATGTTAGAGAGAGCGTTAAATTTTTATTATATTATTAGCCATTTCATTTTTAATATTATATATTAATTTCATTACACTCGAAATTTCGTTAAATTGTATTTCTAAAATATTTAAAAATGGTCATTTTCTCTACGTACAATTTTTGAAGGAAAATTGGTGAAAAAGAAAATATTTATCGATAGGAAATGAAAATTAATTTAACAGAAAATTGCAAATTCCTTGTAACAATGAAAGACAAATATTTGCACGTGAATTAGCCGTGTAATTTGCGTAACAACTAACAATCGTTGGTACAGGCCGTAATAAATGTAGCCAGGGAAATGGATAGGTCGTGAAAGTTAATCGACTTGATCTGTGAACAATAGAAATCGACGAATCCAATCTCTTAATCTGTTATAACAGTCTGGTTCCATTAACTTAACGTTGTCGATAAAATCGGAATAAACTCATTAAATCGATTTGCCAGCTGTTGAATGGTTCAACTCGTCGCTACCAATGTTGCACAGCGAACGGTTGCAGTGAATTGTTCTAGATTAAATTTAATCTCCTCTCGACGATGAACGGTATTATAGATTAAACGATTTCATCCCCGAGCTTGTTTATTTTTTCACGTCTTTTTGAATTTACCAACGCTGTTCAAACTTCGCTCGGAATTCGTTAGGCGACGTTAAATTTAGCGTGTTTAAATTTATCCAGGACAACGATGTTTATTTATTCACGTATTTCTTCGCGCGGCACTGTAAATTAGACTCTCGCCGCTTAATACACTCTGTTACGTTCTTTCGAGAAGGCTTTACGATTGTCTTAATTGATCGAATTAATTTCAATCAGTGCCGCGAGAAAGAGCAGCTTAGTTGACTCTGAATCTAGTTTGAAGTGTTCATTATGTTATTAGATTTACGATTTCGAAGAATGTACTTTGTGCAACGTCCCAAGTGGGCAATAATTCGAAACAATCGCTGTTTGATTGTTTACCAAAGCAAGAACACGATAAATTTAAACTACAAACTTTGGATAATTAAATTTCTCGTCGGTAATTGTTGCATGTTTATTGCAAATTAAATTTCTCAGTCATTTAAATAGTATTTCGTCGGTGAATGTACCGTAGAAACGGATAAGGAAATCCGTCGAATCGCTGAAAGTCAATTTACATCACCGAGGAATCTTCAGAGGTAGTTTATATTCCGCAGTAGTATAAGTCAGTCAATAA